GTTTTATTTATTTATTTGAGAGAGAGAGTGCATGAGCTGGGGGAGAGGCAGAGGGAGAGGGAGAAGCAGACTCCCCACTGAGCAAGGAGCCCGATGCGGGACTGGATCCCAGGACCCCGGGATCATGACCTGAGCCGAAGGCAGACGCTTAACCGACTGCGCCACCCAGGTGTCCCTCTTTGTTTCCATTCTTTACCACCGCCACCGCCCCCCCACCCCGCCCCGTTCCTGAGCCCTGAGCTTCTCCGGAGGTGTGTGAAGGGCCGCCCTCAAGGATAGGGGTGGCACTGGGAGGGGCATCTTCTCCGCAGCATCCAAAACCTTTGCAGCTGGCCTGGGATCCAGCTGGCTGCCCCAGAGGTGCTGAGCACAGGCTGTGTGACCACCAGCCCTACACTTGGGGATCCCTAGGCCTTCTCTGGTCTAAACGTTCCAGAGTTCCTCATGCTTCTGACCGTCCCCATTACAGGCAAGGGCGTGCGGCAGAGGGGAAAGGTGGCTGGGCTGAAACTCAGGAGATTTGGGCTCTGGTTTCCACTCTGCCCCTCACTGGTTGTGTGACCTTGGGCCAGTCACCCTCCTCTCTGGGCCTAGTTTGCACATCTATAAAAAGAAGGTATTAGACCAGATGTTTTTGAAGATCCCTTTCAGCTCTGATGTTGTAGGAGTTTCTGAAATGAGAATAGCAAAACAAATAATAATAACAGAAAGAGAGTAGGGATGAGGGGGGACCCAGCGGCAGGTCTTCTGTCTTGGAGTGGTAAGGAAACAATGAGCTTTCTGGGGGGGTCCCAGGGTGGTGTGGCTGGGAAGAAAAACCAGAGGACACTTCCCAGCACTGCCTACCACCCCAGGTGGCTCCTGATAAAAGGGACCACCCTGTGTGAGGGGCCTGGGAGGTGAGCCTCCAGAACCTTCCCTCAACCTCCGCTCCCAGGTGCAGATCTCCAGACAATACCTGCACTGCAATGACGAGAAGATGCACAAGTCGCTGGGGGGCGTTGTGATCCCGCCCATCCCGAAGGCTGCGGTGTCTGCTGGGGCCTCCTCCTGTACGCCTGGCTCCCTTCCCAGCCGCTTGCCTCCAGGCCAGGGTGTCCTCATGGGCCTGAGGGTCCCCCGCACTCGGTAAGCAGCCCTCTTTCCATCTAGCCCAGCCAGTGCCAGGGTGGAGCTCTGGGGGCCTGGGCACGTGAAGGGCCTGGCTCACCCATGAGCCACAGACCTGGGGACCGCACAGTGCTGATCCTTAAGCCCAGCGGGATGGGCGTCTGGGCTTAGTAGACAGTGTCTCAGCCTCCATAGTCCACCAGCTTGCTGATGTCTGTGGTTGTCGCAGTGATGAATAAAATAGGAGCTCTATTCACGGTAGCTCTTTGTTATTATATATTTTAATTAATGGATACTAAAAATAGAAGCATTATCTGGTATCTGTATGGAAGTGGGAGGGAATGGTCCACAAAAGTTTTGGACATAAAAAGGGGTCTTTATACACAAAAATGTTTGGGAATCAGGGGGGTAGAGAGTTGCTGTGTTGTAATGAATCTGGATTTATGGCTCGCAAGTGGGACAGACGGAACTCTTCAGATGTCCCAGAACATCCCCATGGTCAGTCCAAACTGATGTCGGAGCAGGTGTGTGTGTGTGAGAGAGACAGAGAGACAGAGACAGACAGACAGAGGGAGAATGAGAGAGGCCTCACTTCTCGCATCCCTTTGGGGCCTGCTGTACTGACTTCTGCCATTTCTCTCATGTTCCTCACCTCTCCGTCTCCCATGCTGCCTCCCCTCCCGTCTGTACACACGTCCACCTCCTCCCCAGCCCCGGCGGAGTGTGGGCCTGGTCCTGGATCTGAGTGCCCGCTCCGTCGACCTCTGCTTCCTCACACCGGGCCCCTCCTCCCCTCAGCGGCGGTCCTGGTGGCTGGAGGGACTCTCTGGCCCCAGACCAGTAGCCTTCACTCCGCCCTCATTGCTCTCGACTTCACATCCTGGGAGGTATTGATGTCCACGTCTTTCTCCTTCCTTGCCCTCCTGACTTGAAACCTGCTTCTTGACCTCCTGTGGCAGGACCTTCTAGGCAGTGTCCCCTGTGCCCTCCTTTGTCCATCTCTTAGATGTGGCCGTTCCTGCAATTTGGTCCCGGCCCTTTGTGCCCAGCTCCTTGTTCTCCCCTGGGGGAGTCCTGTCTGCACTGGCAGCTTCCAGGGATGGGTGGCTTCCTCATTCCCTCATCCCCTGCTCTGCCCCAGGTCTCCCTAGAGTTGGGCTCCACGTTTCCATCCTCCTGGTGGGCATCCCTGGTGTCCTCATGGCCAAGGCCGATCCGGCGTCAGAGGGAGAGAGAGGGAGGCTGTGCCACCATCAGGGCCACGCTGATGGGCCACCTCACGTTCCCCCAAACCACCTCCCTCCCATGACCTCCCGACTCCCACCGGGGTGCGGACATTCTCTTCCATCTTTCAATTTCGGCATCATCTTTGGCTCTTGCTCCCGTGGCCCCCTGTCCTAGCAGATTGCCACATCCCATCAGGTCTTCCGTAAACAAGAGAAAATACGAAGGCTGCCACCCTCTCTTGCCCCTGCCTCTCTTCTCCGTTTCCACTCACGGACTCCCTCTTGAGTGCCCCGACAGCTCCCAGCCCAGCACCTTGCCGCCTGGGCTCTGCATTCTAATCTTCCCTTCTTGTGTACCACCCTGTGTACCTTTCCTCCACGTGATTCACATTTTTTGACATCCTGTGTCAGCAGCTTAAAGAGAGTCTCCTCGGTCTGACCTTCAGGACCTGTCCCAGCCCACCACTCCCAGGCCTCCTGTGCTGCCCTCAGGAGCTGGCCCACCTCCAGAGCCTCCCCGCCCCATCCCTGCAGCCCCAACACCAGCCTTCACCCGGGGGCCCCCGTTCAGCTCCTACTGTTCTTCAAGCCCCAGTCGCACACCAGTCCTTGTGCTCAGGTCTTCCCTGCCCTCCCTGGGGAGACGATCAGGGGAAGAGCCTCCTCTGCACTGTCCACGCAGCATCTAGCCCACAGACCCCCTGACCACACTTTTATTTAAACCGCCTATCTATTCTTCAGTGGGGAACTCTGCCGGGCAGAGGCCATAACTTGAAATCTCTGCTCATCCTTCTGGGGAACCCCCCGGGAAATGATCTCAATCAGGCTGGGAGGCCTTCTTGGAGGAGGTGAGGCCGGAGCTGAGTTTTGAAGCCTGAGGGAGAATTTGGGAGATGAGGAGGGAGAGACGTGAGGCATTCCTGGAGCCGCAAGGGGTGTGCACAGCAGCTCTGGTGTTGGTGTGAGACAGGCGGGTGAGGTTAGCAGGACTGCACGGTGCCGTGTGCTAAACCGAGGGCCGTGAGCTTTACTCTGAAGCAGCAAGGTGCCACTGAAGGCCGTTAGGTGTGGAAGTGCCATCAGATCTGCGTTAGAAAGGCCGCTTTGGTGACCAGAGAGGGCTAAGCACGCTGAGGCGGAGACTCCTGCAGGATCGGCGGGGAGAAGCCGGGGGCCCCTGAGCGGGGCAGCGGCGGTGGGCTGCGGCGTCTGTGTCTGGACCCAGCCTGGCCTGGTCTGGTCTCCAGTCGGCCTGCCCTTGACTTTGCGGATAGAGCTGCATCTCCTGCAGCTTTGAGCTCCTAGCCAAGAGCCTCTTTACAGAGCCGGCCCCACCCCCTTCGTGGGTCCCCCCGTCTCGCCCATTGTCCCATCCCGGAGCCCCCCAGGCTCCTCACTGAAGTGGCCCCTACTTGCCATCTCTCATGGTGCTTTTTTCTCCCCGATTCTTTCAAGATTGGTTCGGGAGAGTGGGCCTCGGGAGAAGACCCCTAAATCTCTGGGTATGTACTCCCCACATGCACCCCCACTTGCTGTTAATTCAACTCCCTGCCTCCTGGGCCGGGTAGGGGATCAGAAGTAGGGTTGGAGTAGGCATGAGCACCCTCGGACCCGAGCCCCTCATTTTACGGATAGAGGAACTGAGGCCTCGGGCCGTGCTACCTCGGAGGGTAGTACCAGCACATGGAGCTTCCCAGTAGCCCAGCTGCGAGGGAGGCCTGTGTGACCCGTGACCGGCTGCACTGGGACTGCAGGCCAGGGTCTTGTCCCTGGTCCCAGAGCCTGGAAGGCAGCCTGCAACATGTGCGTGCAGGTCTGCGGGGCTCCAGAGACCTTGCTTCTGACACCTTGGGCGGCTGCCCCTGCACTGTTTTAAGCAAGTAGAGGTGAATATTCCACACCAGGCCGAGTGAGAAATTGAACCACATCCCATGAACCCCTCAGTTAGCAGGTCCCGGAAGGCTTAGTGTCAGGGGAATAGGGCCATCTGGGTTGTTAGGGAGGCGGGTGGCCGGCAGGAGGCCGGAGCACAGAGAGGCTTCAGAAGAGGGAGCTGGAAGCTCTCCAGCCTGATGACCTAAGTCTGTGGGGAGGAGGGAGGCTGAGCCCCAGGGAGGTCGGGTGAGGGATCTGGATGGAGCACCCCGAGCCTGGGGAGGAGGTTTGGAAGTAGCTGCTGTGCTGACCGGCAGGAGGGGGCAGACTGCTAGTCCAGCTTTCCGGCAGGTCACTCTGGACAGCTTAGCAAGTGGGTCGGTTGGCAAGCGGGGGGCTGTTGCCCAGGAAGCCCCAGGCTCAGGACTCGAGCTGAGCCCAAGAGGCAGGCCTGGCATAGAAACCTCGGTGGGGGCTGCTTCTCCTGGTGCAGTGGGGTGACCTCGGGTGGTCGGCTGTGACCCACGCTGGCACCCACGGTGTCCCTTAACAGCTACCCCTGAGTGTGCCCGCATGAGGGTTTGGGCCAGGAGACCCCAGTTTGCGACTATTCCCCTGTTTGCATCCCCAGCTTGCTGCTTGAGAACTTGGGGCTTGGGGGCCAGGCTGCTCAGACAAGACTTTCTAGGATGTCTCTTGGAGGTGGAGGTGAGGAAGGAGATACAAAATAGTAAAGTCCTTAAAGGGCCCTCTGGCCCTCCAGCCGTTAGCTGGGGATAACATTGCCCAATACGTGTAATGTGCCTACCACATAGAAGGAGCCCACATGGTATTGTCTGAAGCTGAGGGCTTCCCCAAATCTTGTGGCATTCCTGCATTCCTTGCCCTCATTAGCTGGCACCTGAACATCTGTGTCCTCTGCCCTGCCCCCTTACTTTTGGGCAAATGAAGCCTTTGCCCTTCCTCTATCTTGGCCCTCGATCCTTCTCCTGGGATCCAAGCAGAGGGATCCTTGGCAGAAGGCATGGGCTGGGCAGAGGTCCAGGGTAACCTGGGAGCCCTCCTGGAGGCCCCAGATTCAAGGCACCCCTTCCAGCCTCAGGCAGCCCCAGATGGTGGCCCCCATTCCAGTGGACCCCTCACTTGCAGGTTTACCCAAGGGCAGTGTGCTCCAAACATTGATGACAGGAGAACCCAGTTAACATCTCTTTCATTGAAAGAAAACTGATCTACCCCTGTCCTGCCTCCATAATAAGGCATGTTACTTTTGAAATCTATTGACTAGGAAAATCTAGAATGACCAAGAAATACTGTTGATTTGCTATCATTTGGAAGTGAATTTGTATTGTATCAATCACAAGAGCATGTGAAGGTTGCTGGGTCTCAGCTTCCTTGTCCGTACAACGAGGGGATGGGACTAGCATTGGTTAGTTCTCTGGTCCCTTCACGCTGTGTGATGATGGGACTCAGTTTATTTTCTCTCTTCCTGAGGTGCACGCCTCCTGGGGAGAGATAGACTGACATGCTCAGGAACTATCTTAAACTTCCTAGATAAAAGACCCACCCCGTTTCCTGCCCTGCCTCCTCCCTTCCCTGTCTTATGATAAGGTGTGCAGTAATTATTGAATGAATGGATGGATGGATAGATGGATGGATGGATGGATGGATGGATGCACAGATGAGAGCAGGAGAGTGTTGGTCCTTGGGCAGCCTGCTCTGTGCCCGCCGGTGCTGTTCGGTAGAGTTTTGCCACCAAGGAAGCATTGGGCAGAACAGTGGAGAATGGCAGGCTTAGGCAGTAAAATGCTACACCAGCCACAGGGTCATAGAGCCCCAGGGGCAGCCCAGAAGAGTGAGTGCTGCTTCAGAGTGCTGGGTGTCCTCAGCTCCATTCTTGTTCTTGACCCATCAGAGCCAAGACCTTCGGCCCTGCCTGTCAGAGACAGGTCTGCCACCCCTGAGAAGCCCGCCCTGCTTTCATCTCAGTCTGCTCCTACACTGACAGCTTTCTCCTTCGGCCAGGCCAAAGGAGCCCGCCCCTCGCTCAAAGAAGAGGACCAGAAGGAGAGCAGTACCAAGGTATCTGGAAAGCGAAGGGAGGAGAAAGTGGGGGTCAGAGTGGACCGCTGGCTGAACACAAGCATGTTTTCTGAAATACATAAATGTGGGGCCAGCTTGAGGAAGGCAAGAAAGAGCCCTGAGTCAGCTTCCCTGGTGCTTAAGGCTGGAACCTGTCGATGGTTTGGGGGTGAGGACCAAAGAAAGGAAGAGAAACAAGAGAGAGGAAGAGAAGGATGCGAGTTGGGGATTAGGTGAAGGGAAGAGTACAGCGGGGAGCTGAGGGGCGGGATGAGGGAGGAAGGGAGGGCAGAAGGAGGTCACACGGGGTTTGGAAGGAAGCAGGATGTGGAGAGTACAGAGGGGCTTAGGTGAACCAAACCGAGTAATTTGAACCAACACCCAAGATAGCAACTGAGAGGCAGCTGACTCGGGCAGATCAGCCAAAGACTGTGCTTGACAGGCTGACAAATACCTTGCACTTCTCAGGTGACCTTGGTCCAGATGATTCTCTTCCCTGGTCTGGATGAATTTACTAAAACTTGAAGAGTCACTATTAGGGAGCTCTGTGCTCAGTCTTTGAAGCAGAGATATGAGAGTACAAGAAACATGCCTGGAAGGTCCGCTGCACGCATGTGCTATGTTAGAGTCCAGTGATGACGATGATGAGGTCGGGCATCGCAGCCCTCCCGCTCCAGCCAGGGCGCCAGAGCACGACAACCGAAGGAAGAGTAATTCAGGGCTGTGAGGTGACCCCACTGCCCACCCCACCTTGGCCACTCACCCCATGGTCAGCCCGTGGACCTTGTGATAACTTCACCCCCACTGGCATCTCGCTTTCAAGCATCCCCTTCGCTCATCACCATGTCCTGTTCTTATAGCTTCGTCCAGCCACACCCCAGGCCCAGCATTTCTTCCTGTTCTTGCATCAGCAATATCCTCCCCAGAATCAGACCATTCCTATCAGCATCCTAGCTCTCTGTTATTTCTTTTGTCTTAAGAAAACAAAACTACTGTCTTGTCTCCACCCGTTCTGTCCTGAGTCTGCTACAGTCTGGTTTGGGTCCCACTGCCCCCGAGGAAATGGCCCACGTCAAGGCCACTGATGACCTCCACCTTCCCACATGCAGCACAGCTCAGGTCTCTTCTAACTCGACCCATCAGCAGCTTTGGTGGCTCATTCTTCTTGCAGTCCCCACCTGGGAGAGAAGGAGGCGAGGGCGTGGCTTCCTTCTTGGTTCTCTGCCTCCATCAGATTTTGTTGCTTCCCAGTCCTTCTTGGCTGGCTCCTCCTCATCATCCTGCCCTTTACACGCAGGAGGCCCCAGAGCCCGGATCTCTGGCCTCTGGTCTATTTCTACTGACCCCGTGTGACCTGTTCTGGTCCATGACATTAAGTGCCATCTATATGCTGAGGACCCCCAAATCTCCCTCTCTGGCCCAGACCTTCCCCTGACCTCCAGGAGCAGTTAAATTATATAGCTAAGTATGTATTAACTGATATTCTGCATTTCCATTTAGGTATCTAATTATATTTCAAACTTACCTCATCTAAAACTCAACTGTTGAATCTTTACCCCCCCAAATCTCTTTCCCCAGTCAATGGCAGGAGAAGGCAACTCCAACCTTCCAGATCCTCTGACCAAAAATCTTGGGTCCACCTTTGCCTCCTCTCTTTCTCTGTTGCCCCACATCTCGTATATCAGCAAAAGCGGGGGGCTCTACTTTGGGGACCTGTCCAGAATTGGGCCATTCTGTCATCTTCATTCTCACTGCGCTAGTGCAAGCCCTACCACACGGAAACTCTTGGTTCTATTTTGCAACTTTTCGTGAGTCTTAAATTCTTCCCAAATATAAAGTTATAAAAAACAACAACACTTAGAGGAACCCCTCATCCCCCAGTGGAAGTCCGATAATGTCACTCCTGTGCTCAGAACCTCGGTGGTTTGCTGTGTCCTTTAGAGGACACGTCTGACCCCTCACCATGGGCCACGGGGCCTGGTGCACTATGGCTCTGCCCACCCCTGCCACCTCTGACCCTGTGTCCCACCATCCTCTACCTTGGGGTGCTCTGGCCAGTGTCCTCACTGCCCCCCAACCATGCCCAGCACACTCCAGGCTCAGGGCCTTTGCATCTGCTTTCCTCTGCTTAGCACCCTTTTCCCCTAGAAATTTGTATGGCCTCTGCTCTCTTAGTTCATTCATGTCTCTGCTTACATTTCCCCTCCTCTGGGAGTTCCTCTGGGCCTTCCTACCTAAAATGGAAGCCCTGTCACCCTCTGTCCCTCACTCTCCTTCTGGTACATACTGCCTGACGTTAGAGATTGGTCTGTTTGGCAGCCCTCCAGGAGCAAGGTCTTGGTCGTTTTGTTCACTCCCAGAAGAGTGATGGCAGGTAGGAGCCACTCACATTCCTGATTGAATAAATGCAGGTACAGAAAGCACCGTTGGGTCCTCATGGTAACAGAGTTTGCCTTGACCTTCTGCCAGATCCAGGTCACCATCTCCAAGTCTGCCCAGGAGAAGCTGCGGCTGAGGCAGATGAAGGAGATGGAGTTGCTCCAGAGGGCAAAGGAGCTGGAGAGGGAAAGGGAGCTTGCTTCCCAGAGCCTGGCCTCCCGGAGAGCCCTGATGAAGGAAGGTACTGGGTGCCTGGGGCCCAATTCCCTCAGGCTGGGGAGACTTCTTGGCCAACCACTGGGCAAGAGAAGGTTTACCTACAGCCCCCCATGCTCCCCATCCGGACGCTGGACAGGGAGTTACTGATGGGCCCATGTCCAAAGGAGGACACTGGGGCTGAGGACAGGCAGGACCAGCGCCACCCTAGGACTTTCTCTGCCTCCACAGGCCTCCTTCCCCTCCGGGGTAGTGGGACCATGTCCTTGCCCACGGGGCTTAGCAGCCCACGCAGAAACATCGGTGGCATCCTGAGGAAGCGGGCCAACCGGGCCTCACTGCCCAGCATCCCTGTCAGCAAGCAGGAGCCCAGCTTTGCCCGCCATGCTTCAGGTAGGGCCCAGACCGACTGCCTGGGGGACTCATGTCCCTCTCGCTGTGTTGCCTTGGGATGCTTTGGGGTACAGCAAAGGTGACCTGGGCCATTCTGCTTCTTCCCATTACCTGTGTTAGAGTAGAGGGCAGTCTGAGGTGTGATCGCCTTGCCAGAGAACGAGGGATAGTGTGGGAGTCAAAAGCATCTATGGGCCAGACTGGGGATCCAGGGAATTGCAACTAGAATTACTGATAGAAAGGCAGGTGTGCCCAGCCTGCACGACATGTCCTAGAGGACTCACCAGTGCACCGGGACCACAGATGCTGGGGAGAAACATCCGCGAAAGTAGCTGGAAACATCGGGAAGGGGAAGAGAGGGATCCGTGAAGACCTTGGGTTCCTACAGTTTGCCTCATAAAATGTCAGGGTTGGCTAGGGCTGATTACAGCCTGGGATCCCAGGATCCAAAGGTTCTTTGGGATGCTCAGGAAGGTGCCAAGGCACAAGGAGGCTCTGACCCCATTCCACCAGAGCAACATCTATTTTGCCTCACTTTTTTATATATTGGGTATCCACCTGACATTTCAATTTTGAAAGATTTTGCTACTAAAGAACATTTGAAAACAACCAGCCTGGCTCAGAGTTTCTTTAAGTGTGGGCTGTAGTGGGACCATGGTGATAGAATAGAACACCATTTTTGGTGCCAGAAATAATATTGACTCATCCTTCTTTTCCATTCTCTTTCTATCCCTTTGATTCCGTCAAGTAGAAAGTCTTAATTCAGTGCTGGTCTTGAGCACCCCTCTCAGGCTTGGAAATCTCCTTTTTAAACAAAGAGATCTTCCTTCCAGCTTGAGTCATCAGAAGCTGCCTACAATTTGATAGCTGGAGTTTTTAACGTCCTTTTACTTTTATTGCAAATATCCTATCCTATGGCAAATAATATTTGTTTACATATTATGGTAGTGACATAAATTTCACTTAAAGATAAACTTTGAAAAGTGGGTTGGCTTGAAGAAAAATGCCGTATAAATAAAATTACAGGTAATTAAGAGACATGGCAAGAAGTCATGAAAGTGGTGATTGAATGATTGATACTTGGGAGATATTGATCTATATAATCCATCCCACTCATTTTATAGTCAACAGAACTGAGACCTAGAGACCCAAAGTCACCTGAGTTTACTTAAGGTGATGGTGGTCCGTGGGGACTAAGATTTTGGCTAATGACTCTTATCCAACGGCAAAGGTGAGAAGAGAATCTGGGAATGAGGTCTTTTGGTCTTGGCTTTAAGTAAAGGATTGCCCTGCCAACTCAGATTTGCCTAGGACCTCCTGGGTGCGCCATCTTGACAATCATGCTGGTGGAGATGAGCCTCTAAAGAGAAGTAGCCAGGAAGCAAGGTGTGGCAGTGTGAGCTCTGGGTTCAGAGGAGACCCTCTTGTCATGGCTCCGCTGATGGAGACGCTGAGGGACTGTGGTGGGGACCCCTGCCCTTCCGTGCCTCTGAGGCCCCGGTGATGTGTTTCGGGGATTGGAGCAGGTAGATGGCTAAACTGCTTTCTTGTTCTGCTAGGATTTTGATTCTAGCATCCGTCCCTAAGGAAGGGGATCCTAGAAAACATGACCTGAGTTTTAAACAACATCCCTGCTTATTGGCAGTCCCTGCCACATCTTGACCACATGGGCCCCCGTTAGCTGCATTGTCTCCTTTGAGCTTTCACTGTCCCCTGTTTTGTCCTTTGGGCCACTTCCCTGCCTTGCCCCTGGGCAACTTCACAAAGGGTGGAGAGTGGGGGGAAGAGGAGAAGCTGATAACACAGCCTCCTGGGTGGGGATGAGGTTAGAACACCACCAGTGTGAGAAGGGGCTCCCTCCTTGCAGACTTACGAGCCTCACCCAACCACAGATAGGGCAGGGTTGGGGGTGAGTCACCGGCATGGTGGGCTTTGTCACATGACATCAAGCAGAGTATCACAGGCTGGCTTGTTTAGAACCAACAGGATGGCAGGGCTGGGGTGGAAAAGGCCAACAAAAGCTAGACACCACTTTTGGAGGTGTCTGCATCTCCCGGGGCGGTGGGGAGGACTCACAAATCCTGCCCTCCCAGCCCCGGCCAGTTCCTCCTCTGAGCACACCTCATGTTAGGCCAGGTCTGGGTCTTCCTGCTGAAATGTGCCATGTTCCTTTCCTTTTCTGTGAGGGCAGCCAATTCATTACCCGCGGTGCTTACCTTGGGGTCTCCCGAATGGGAAGAAGAGGAGGAAGAATTTGATCCTAGAACCTTTAAGGAGTTGAGGCCTTTCTCGAACCCTGAGCTGGGGCTGATGGATGCCCTCCAGTGCCTGGAGAGCAGCGACTGGTGAGGGGACCCCTTCTCCTGACCCCAGCTGCCCGCCTCCCCTGCGGCAGGAGAGGGGTGGTGGTGGGGGTGGGTGGGGGGTGCCCCGGTGCCCCTGATCTGCACGGGGAGCAGGACTCCTCCCTCCCCACCTGCCTGTGACAGACCTGGAACTCACTTCTCAGGCAGATGAAGGAGAAGGGCCTGCTGAGTGTCCAGCACCTGGCGGTCTGTCATTCAGATGTCCTTGCTGGGAGGCTACACGATGTGTCCTTGGCTGTGACGGGGGAGGTGAGGCCACCTAGACAGCCTGTGTCCTGTGCATTGTCCCCACCCTGCAGAGCAGGCAGTCCCCCTTCCCTGGTGCCGCTGCTCAGTGTGGGTCACATGGCAGCCACGGAGAGGCCATGGCTCCCTGGAACGTGGCATCCCCTGCTTATTTCTTAGCCCTCAGCCACAGAGGTGGGAGGTAGCCGCCCATGTTTCAGATTGGAAAACTGGGGCCTGGGTTTTCTTTGTTTCTAATCTCTGGGCACTGAAACAACCAGAGTCCTGTATGCCTGTTTGTCCCAGCCCTGTGCTGTCCTCTGTACTCAGATGCCCAATGAGGGGCTGGAGTGTTCTGGGCTAGATCTCCAGCTTCAGGGAAGTTGTAACATTTCCCAAGGATTTTCTCCCCTGGGGCTGGGGCTGGGGTGGGGGCCTAGGCCGGGCCCAGAGTGGCAAAGAGATGCATCTTATCACATGTGGAGGCCAGGTCCCTTCTTGGGAATAGACTATTCCAGTGGTGGGGGTGATGTTGGGGGGGGGGCGGGCTTGTGAAGACTAAATTGAACATTCTTTGTAAAAGTACTTAGAAGACTAAGTGTTGCACAAATTTCGGATGTTCAAATTTTAAATTTCAGGTGGAATTAGTAACTATGATGATAACAATAATAGCATTTTTTTAAAATGGGGCTGTTTTGTCCAGAGCTATTGTGTGGTTTTCGTTTCCAGCCTGGCAAGGCCTAGGCCTGCAGGAAGGGTGGTGGTGGCAGGGGAGGGTGGGGCTGTGCCCCATACTTCGTATGTTCTGGAACCCTTGGCAGGGTCCAGCAGTCCTGGGGGCTCCCTGTCCCATCTCTCTCCTAGGTCACCAACCTCCGCTCCAAAGTGTCCTGCCTGGCCATCAGCACCCTGGGAGCCCTCTTCCGGGCCTTGAAGAAGAACATGGACCAGGAGGCTGAGGAGATTACCCGCAGCCTGCTCCAGAAGATGGGGAACACCAGCGAGTTCATTCAGAGAGCCGCCCACCGCTCCCTGGGGGCCATGGTGGAGAATGTGACCCCCGCCCGCTCCCTGGTGGCCCTCACCTCAGCGGGCATCTAGTACGTGGTGGCTCGTTGTCGGAGGGGTGGGTTGGGAAGGTAAGGCTAGGGGAGAGGTCTGGGGATGGGAGAGGAGCAGCCAAATGCAGCAGGTGCCCCACACATGTAGCCGGGGGAGGAGGAAGACCTGTGCTTCCTGGTGCGCTTCTCTCCCACCTTTCTTGGGTCAGGTTGGGGATAACGAGGCGAGCTCGGGGCAGCCCCGAGCCTCAGCTGCAAGGGGAGAGCTACTGTGTTCTGTTCAAGGCTGGGGAGTTCAGAGTGTCCGTGGTAACATCCGGAGACCGGGCTGAGAGCCAGCCTGCGGCCTGTGTGCCTCTCCCAGGGGATGGGCGTTCTTTCTGATGAAATCAAGGCTGTGAGCAGAGCAAGGCACACAATCTCATTCTAGCTCACACCTCTTGGCCTTTTCCTGGGGAGGAGGAAGGTGCTTGCCTCCCAAGGGAGCCTTTCTGCAGCCAGATTTGCTTTCACCTTATTCAAAAACCCAAACTAAAGCAAAACCAAAACCATTTCCCAAACCCTCTCTCCCACAGGGCCAAACGACTCTCAGCCCCAGAACCACTTGTAACACAGATGCAGGGGCTTCTGGGAAGCCCCCAGGGTGTGTGGTAGCCACGGGCAGGCCTTTGCTAGCCACACCACAGCCGGGTAGGAAGGGTGAGGGGCTCCGGAGTCATGTTGCCTGGGTTCACATCCTGGATTGTTACTTCACTTCTCTGTGCTCAGTTTCCTCATCTGTAAAATGGGAATAATAATGGTGCATACCTCTTCAAAGTGTGAGGAGTAAATGAATGGATTCATGAAAGAGTGCTCAGAACCATGCCTGCCTTTACTGTAACATTCACTGAGAGCTCACTGTGGCTGCCACTAACGTGGGAGATGTTATTTGTCCTTTTTTCTGGATTCCTCCCTTTTCTCAGCTTCCTCATCTGCAAAATGATGCTAATAGTGGCTTATGGAGTCGAACAGATAATAGATGAGGCGTGTTTAGCAGGGTGCCTGGCTCTGAGGCTGTGCTAAGTACAAGCTGAGGCAATTGATCATTGTTGCAAGAAGCAGGGTCAGGTGTCTAATGAACTGTGGGCACACAGGCCCTGTTTGAAAAAGTGAAAAAGAAACAAGTGACATTCTGATGGGTTTCCCCTGTTAGGGTTACCAAATTACCCATGGATCCCCTGTCCCTCCCTCCTGTCTCAGCTCACTTGGACAAACGTGCAGTTAGCTCCCACTAAGTGTGGGCATGTGCCAGGCACCAGCGGGGCACAGGATTCCACTGGGGGGAAGGAAGCTGGGTGCCAGCTCCCCGGGAGCTCCTCGCCTGGCTGGGGAGCCACAGGGGACCAGGACAGCACTAGCCCCAGGGAACATTCTGCCAAGGGGGGTGGGGAGGGCAGAGAAGGAGACAGGGATTGGGCAGGGTCTTTCTAGGTGGAGAAAAGGTGGGGAAGGCAAACACGGGCTCAGGAAAGCGCAGAGGTGGTGAGCACCCATGTGTGTGTGTGGAGCACCACGTGGCGGCTATGGGCGCTCCTTCTTCCTTCTCCCGTCGTTACCATTGTCATCCTGGGTTCTATGATCACGACGTGACTCCTCTTTTCTTGAAGATTCCCTGTAGCCCATATGAGAGATTGCGGAGCCCGTCACGGCATGAAACATGGAGGCACAACTGTAGGTCCACGTGCGGCAGTCTGGGGACCCCACACCCCATTCCTTGTCTGCACCCTTGCCTGGGATTGTATTTTTTTTTCAGCCACCGAAACCCCTCAGTCCGGAAATGCACTGCCGAGCACCTCTCAGCCGTCCTGGAGCAGATAGGCGCCGAGAAACTTCTCTCGGGCACCAGGGACAGCACGGAGATGCTGGTGCACAACCTGGTGAGACTGGCCCAGGACTCCAACCAGGACACCAGGTGATGCAGGGCCAGGGGCTGGGGGCTGCCTACCCGGCCAGCCCAGGGCAGATAAGGCAACCAGCCAGCCCTAAGGGCCCTGGCCCGCATAGCTCAGCTTTCCTGGGGCCATGGGAGGGATGGTCAGACAGACACACCAGCTGTGTCCTTGCCTTGTGGCCTCCGTCCATCTCTCTCTGCCGGCATAGCCAGGCCTGGAGGAATGGCCAGCACTGCCCGCCTCTAGTTCTCCCTCTCTCGCCACTGCTCTCCCCCTGTTCCTGACCCACCCCAGCTCCACCCTCTGAAAGGCCATTCATTCTTTTCAAGGATAGTGAGCAGATCACTCTTCGTTATTATGGACAGGGCAGTGAATAAGAAGAATTAGGCCTCTGCTATCCTGGAGCTCACCCCTAGTTGGTTATTTGTTTGTTTATTTGTTACAATCAACAAATAAATTATTATGGTCACTTCAGATAGAGATAAGGGGTACAGAGAGAAAAGCACCATGGTAGAGAATGGGGTGGCGGCTCCTTTGATGGAGAGTCGGGGGAGATCTTTTGGAAGAGTGACATTGGAGTTGAGAACTGATGGTCCAGCAGGAGCCAACTCATTGGGGGTCTGGGGTGTGAGTGTGCCAGCAACGGAAATTACAAAGGCCCCCCGGGATGGGAGTATGCTCAGTACTCTGGGAAGAGGAAGGCTGGGCTGCATGGCACCCCGGGGCGTGGGGCAGGGCGAACGGGCTATGAGGCGGATGAGGGCCCCTCAGGCAGCGGTCAGGAGGCAGGATTCCGGCTGGGGTGTGGCCGGAAGCCACTGGAGGAGCTTTAGTAGGAGTGTGAGGAGATATTCGATGGTGTAAAGCAGGAGAGTGATAGAACCTGATTAGCGGTCTTGGAAAGCTACGGTTAGGGTCCAGTTAGTCACATTCCTCAGTCCCCGGGACATTGTGGCCAGATCTGGAGACCACACCACATCTGGTACGCCTCCACAGGGCATGTCCCCCTGCCTTCTGTGCTTTCCTACGGACGAGGGCGCGCCCTCCCCACTGCAGCGGTGCTCCAGGGAACAGCCTCACATGTGCTCCCTGGTGGAGCCCAGGGAGAATGTCTGGGGTATTCCCCGGGGGCAGGACGGTGGTCAGGGGCATGTGTCCATCTAAGCCACCCGAGCATCGTGGGGAGCTCTTGAACACGCTGCGCCCCTCTGCTTCCCTCCTGCGGGGATAGTGCCTACATCCTCACGACCTTGCAGTATCTGGAGTTCTAATTTTTATTGATCTAATGGGTAAAAGTGCCAGCTCATTATTATTTCTGAGTGCTTTTCGCCCCTGGTTACTAGAGTTTGTGTGTCTTTAAATGCTCGCTGTCTTCTTGATTTTTTTTTTTTTTTTAATCTTTCTGGCTGCTCATTAGAAGAATGATAGTAGGGGAGGGGGCCTGGATGGAGGAGGGACACCAGACATATGGCTACTCCCCAGTCCCTGCCAGAGGTGCTGGAGGCTAGCAGAGGGGAGGGGAGAGCTGGATTGGGGTGTCTTTTGAAGGCAGAGCCAACAGGATGTGGGTGGTGAGGCTTTCAAAGAGAAATCAAAGATGATGCTTGGGTTTTTAAGCTGAACAATTGGGTAAATGATAGTGTCATTTACTGAAATGAGGAACGTTGGTGGGGAACTAGGAGGTTCTGCTTGATTTGTTTTTAGTTGTTGGGAGGGGGATGGACATCCAGATCTAATGTCTCTCCAGCTGGAATGTCGCCCTCCATTCTGACCTCTCTCACATTGCCGGCATTGACGACTCTCCACTTTCCTTCTTGGCACCTATGCTTCCGATGTCCATGGCCCTACACTCCCTAGTTCCCCTCTTCCTCTATGGCCGCCTCTCCACCTGCCTGCCCTCCGGATGTAGATGGCCACAGGAGTGTCTTCATTCTTGTCCTCTTACGACTTTCCCTGAGTACTGTTACCATTTCCATGGCTCCAGCCACAGCAACTCTGATGCTTCGTAGGGTCTCCCTCCAGGCTACCCCTTCTCTGAGCATCAGTGCTTTACCTCTAAAGCCTCCGGAGGACCCATCACCTCTGCCAGATGTCCCACTGTCATCTTCGGTGCAGAGTTTCTCTGAATGAACCCATCGCCTTCTCCCCAAGCCTGTTTCTCTGGCTGTGTTCCTTCTACTCTAAAAAGTCACTATTATTTACTGAATCATCTAAGATGCAGAATAGGCACCTTCATACTTCATTGATTCTAAGACACACAATTTCCCCCACCTTTTAATATCTTACACTCAGAGGCATCTCACAGTTGCTGCTGGCCAGGCAGCAATTTTGATTTGGGTTTTACTCCCTGCACATTCTCAAACTTGGGCATTATCGCTCATAGTGTAAACCTTTGAATTACAGTGTGCATTGTAGGAATTAAACTAGGAGCCTTGCTCGTTGCCTTTTATATTTATTTTAAGAAGTCACCATGGATGCTCTGTGGGGACTTGTTGAGTTTAATTGCTCCCTAAAATGTCTCAGAAATATTACACTATTATTCGGCACTGAAATGAAAAGTTATAGTGTATGAGAAGAAGCATGGAACTAGAGCGATGGGACATAAATTAGATATGAATGCAAACAGTCATAGAAGGAACAACCCGAATTCCACATTTCCTTACCAGGCAACCACCAAGTAGTTTACCCAGCCTAAGGAAGGAAGGGCACTGCCCGCGAGTAATGTTACCTCTGTTTCTGAGATAATACACGAAGGTGTTGCCTTCCCACATGGGGTAGTGTCATTGAAGGTAGTGGAAATTGCCAGTGCTTTCTATTTTTGTTTTTCCTCAGTGGAAAATAAATCAGTGGTGCATTTTATAATCAATGGAGTCTTGGGTTGAGGGAAATAATGACTGCAGATGCTCCCTGCTCCACCTCCGATCAGCTCCCAAGCCCTGCAGTCTCCACTTTCTTAACAGGTCCCGAGGTTGACCGCCCCTTCCTCCTCCCACTCTATAGCCTTATTTCAGGACTTCATCGTCTCTTGCCTGGACTACCATGGTGGCCTCTTAACAGGTCTCCTGGCCCCCCACCTTGCCACCAGAGATGCATCCTCTACACTGCTGCCAGAGACTTTTCCACTAAAGTGCAAATCTGGTCATTCCACAGCTTCCCGTTGTCTGCACTTTAAAGCCCAGCTCCTTCACATTTCCAGAAATTGGGCCATACCCGCTCCAGGCCCTACCTGCTGTTTACCAACCACACACCTGTTAACGTGTCAAATTGTATTACAGACCCTGGAATGACCCCCACCTCTACCCCCTTTCCCCCGATTCCATCCCACTGATGAACTCCTACTCCTCTTTTGAGTCCCAATCTAAGCGTCACCTCTTCTCTGAAGCCCTCTTTGATTTCCTCCCCCACCCACTGCTGTTCGCTAGGTAGAGCTGACCACTTCCTTCCAGGCTGCCCCCCTCCCCCGCACCCTTCCTCAGACTTCTAGATGCCTCATACTAGAAGAAGTTAAGTACATTTTGGTATAGTCATCTAATGGAATATTATGAATCCACTAAAAAGGATGACATGGGAAGATGATTAATGATGAAGTGAAAAAAGCCAGAGGCAAGTTGTATATACATTCTGGTATCAACAAAAATGTATATGCGTCAAAAAGGCTACAAGAAAATACGACAAAATTTAATAGTGGCTTTCTCTTGGTAATGGGGCTACGGATGATGTTTATTCCTTTATGAATCTAGTTTTTAACTGTCTTAATTAGCAATTACTGTCTTAATTAGAAAAAGTATCAAAAACTCTTTTACTACAATTACAAAACTTCTGTAAATCTGTAAAGCAGATTTATGATGCATTTCTATGGCTGTTTCTTCATCCCTCTCTTTCTCCTGCGGCAGGTTTTATGGCCGCAAGATGGTGAATATCTTGATGTCGAATACGAAGTTTGATGCATTTCTGAAGCAGAGCCTCCCGTCTCATGACCTACGGAAGGTCATGGCGGCTATTAAGCAGAGGGTGAGTTGGTGGCCTGAGCAGGTGGGGGTGGGGGGGTGCGGGGGAGGTCAAAGCTGAGCCAGGCAGGGGGGTGAGGTGTGCATTCCAGAGATTCCATTTCACCCACAACCCCTGCCAGGTGGGATAAGTGTGATTTCCTTCCCCTGTGCTCGGACCTGGCTCTGCCCCTCTCTGCCAGCGTGCCTTGAGCCACCCTGGGCACGTCCACACTGTCTCCTGTTAAATGGGGATCTTGACCCCTGCCCCGACTACCAGTGGCCTGGAATGCTCAGTTGTGCCCTCAGAAGCTCTGCCAAGTGGAAAGGGTTATTCCTGCCACCGTGGTCTAGGCTGGAGTGGTTGGCAGTTCCCCAGAGAGCCACTCCTTCAGCTCATATTCTGTGTGCCTTTTTCAAGGGAATAGAAGAAAGCGATGGACTTCCATCTGCCAAGGGCCACAAGGTGTCGAGGAGTCTGGTGCTGGGTGAGAACGGGCTGCCCAGCAAGAATGGGTATGGCTGCTCTTGTCTCTCTGGGGCTCCACGTCCAAGGCTGCCGACGGAGATGGCCCACTGGCCCTGGGCCGGGGTGGCTCTGGGAGGCTGTGTGGATCTGGGCTACGGTGGAGACCTAGTTGGGTCTGCAGCACTCATGGGTGAATTTAGAACAGGTGTCCCCCCACCCAAATCTCAGGGAGACCAAATCCTGGGATCGGAAGCACTGGCCAGGAGAGGTTGGTTTCTGCAGTCCCGCGGGGTGGGTACAATGCCACTAGTCCGCGTGGGGCGTGTTGCTGGCCGGGCTGTCTGCCCGAGCTCAGCGCTTCTCCACCCACTTCGAGCCGCTCACCCTGTCGCCATCAGGGCGGCCTGGGGTGAGTTTAGAGGTAGAGCTGGGGCGAAGGCAGATGCGAGGGAATGGGTGGGGAGGCTGGAGGGTGGGTGCTGGGAGGAGCAGAAACCAAGCAGAAACTCTATGGTCACTGATGCGCCTGAAACTCAAAATTCTTCTCTGGTGCTCGGGGAGGACCCCATCTGAACTCCTTAGCAGGCGCCCAGGGAAGCCCCCATCACCTGCTTGAGATTAGCTTCCTGCTCTCCCCCACACGTGGTCTCTCAGCCAGCCCAGAGCAGCTCGTCCTCCCTGCCCGACACCCTCCGCCGTGCCCTGTCTCCTGCTGTGCCTTTGCTTATGCTATACACCTGCACACCTAGAACTTGCCTGTCTCTTCTGCAGGGTCCCTCAAGACCCACATTACTGTCACCTCCCCCCCCGAGGCTCTCTCTGACACTCTGCTCTCTGTTCTTCGGTCTTCTGTCAGCCCCTTGGCTTACCTGCCTCCACTGGTCTGAGAGCTCCTTCAGGCAGAGAACGTGCCTCTCATCTCACTGTCCTTGGTGCCCACGACAGCTCTAGGCACTCAGTGGGCAAACCGTGCGGACTGTAGGAATGAATGACAGCATGGATGATGTTGGGCTCTGTCAGAGGGGACTTGCGTGTAGGGCATGAGCTCAAAGAGCCAGGTTCTGAGCTGGGCGTGGGGGGTAGGAGTCCTGTATGGAACTGCTCTCACGCTGGCCGGACTGGGCCTGAGGCTACGATAGACATGTGCTCTCAGCGGAAAAGAACAGGGCTTAACAGTTCCCTGGTCACTGGAGAAGTAGGAGCAGGGCCAAGGCAACCGGGGATCAGGATAAAGGCACCTGGCGAGATCGTCCCTCACTCTTAGCTTAAATGTGCAGTCATCCTTCGGTGGACTCCTGCCTCTCACTCCCATACCGCAACCCACCCCCCTTCACGTGTTTTCTGAAAAGAGAAAAAAAGGCAGGAAGAGAGAGACCTGTCCCCTGACAAAAGGATGGGGCTCTAGGCCACCTGATTGCTGTCCCCTGAGGAAACAGGATTTCCAGAGTTCCAGGGCCAGTGTCCTCAAGCTGCAGGTGGAGCCGCTGGGGGTGGACTAAGCTGCAGGTAGCACTCTTGTCTCAGTCTCACCTGTCTGCGGGCGGGGCATGGGACAAGAGGCGCAGCCGTCCTCTGGGACTGCCCAGGTCAGAAGTTCCTTCCACACAGGCTCGGCTCCAACGGCGCTCGGCTGGTGGGGCTTCGCTCCTCCGTGCGCAGCGGCCTCGGGGTGGCGGAGCATCTTCGGGAGCTGACGCGGCTGCTGGAGGCCAAAGACTACCAGTCCCGGATGGAAGGCGTGGGGCAGCTCCTGGAGCACTGCAAGGCCAAGCCAGAGCTTATCACCGCCAACCTGGTCCAGGTGAGCGCTGCCCCAGCCCTGCCCCTCCCCCCGTCTCTCTCCTGTGGGTGCAACTTCAATTTGGAAACCTCAGGACAGAGTTGGACAGGGTGCCAGATGCCTCAGGGTAAAGGGAGCCGGAAAAGCACCTGCTACCCGGTTGCCTTGGTAACACTGTGAGACTGCCCGGAAGTAGCCAAGGGGGACAAAGGCCCCGCCTCCTGCCAGGCGCCTTGGGACCACCCAGAGATGTCCTGGGCATCTCTCATCCCTTTAGCGGATTTATGGCGAGGAGGGTAGAGGTAGAGGGTCCCACGGCTGAGGGCTGCTCCTGGTCTAGCCAGGCACATGATGTGTTGGGGGCAGAGTATGTGGTTGGCCAAGCGACCGGGCCAGGATGGTTAGATGGGTGGGTTAGGAGCCAGCACAGGCCCTTCACGGACTGGAAACCAGGGCAGATGCTTGCTTCTTCCAGGATCCAGGCTGCCGATGGTCAAGCCGTGTGGCACAGTAGTTAAGACACAGGCTCGGAGTCAGCAGACCTGGGTATCCATCCAAGTTCCTTACTAGCTGTGTGATCTGGGCAAATCACTTCAACTCTTTCTGCCTCAGTTTTGGCTTTGTTTTGAATGGTAAACTAAGGATGGGAACGCGTGCCTCATGGATTAAGATCATTCCATGAGAGGACAGGGTACCCCTAATGAGATGCTCTAGATGCTTTGATGCAATGAGTGCTCAACAGGTGGCTGCTCTTCCCCTCTTGCCCTCCTCCCCTTCTGAGGAGGTAAGCGCCTCACCACTGAGAATGTTCTGGCATAGGTTGGATGACCCTGTCGGGGAGGCAGGAGGAATCCCTGCCAAGGGTGGTTGGTTGGGTTGTGGGCTTCCTGACCAGCCTGGGTTCCCATGGGCTCTTGGTTTCTGTTCCCTCAATAGGTCTTTGATGCTTTCACCCCAAGGCTTCAGGATTCCAACAAGAAAGTGAACCAGTGGGCACTGGAGTCCCTTGCCAAGATGATCCCCCTCCTCAAAGAAAGCTTACACCCCATGCTGCTCTCCATCATCATTGCTGTTGCAGACAACCTCAACTCCAAGCACTCGGGGATTTACACCACCGCGGTGACTGCACTGGATGCCATGATTGAGAATCTGGGTGAGCCTCCTGCCTCAGCCCTGCTTGGCTCTGGTAGGGAGCCGACTTGATCCCTGAGCCCACCCCAGGGTGGGCTCACCCTTCCTGCTGGGAAGCAGCAGAGTGCTGATGGGCACTGGGGGGCTCTCAGGCCAGATGTTTCCCCGAAGGCTGCGTAGGACAGGGATGGGCAGCCCAGAACCTGGTTGGCAGGCTTTCCCATGTCACATCCACCTGAGTGTCCTAAATAGGAGGCGTGGAGGATAGATGTATAGATGATCTAGTCTTGCCTCCTCAGAGTACATGTGACAGAAATGACTCATCCAGGGTCACACAGTACCGCAGTGATTGAGCCAACAGGGCACTGAAGGAAAAATAGGTCCGGATTACCAGGAAGAAGCTGGAAGCGTTGCCAGCAATGTTTTTAGATGTAGCGATGATCGCAGTGGGGGTGGCTTGTATGGGGATGGTGGTGAGAGAGCAGAGCAAGCCTGCTGGAGAGGACAAAGTGGACGGGCAGGTGGGCCACCTTGATTGTCTGGTATAGGAGTGGGGCTGGGATCCCATTGGCTTTTGAGCGTGGAACAGATGAGAGTTGCCTTTGAGGAAGACTGTTTGGGGCCAGGGCTCAGGGTGGGAGGAATCTGGGTGAGGAGTAGGGAGTGAGGGTTGGGGGTGGAATGAAAAGGGAAAAAGGAGTGAGCTATGGGAGACACATCAGGAACAGCAAGAGCTTCTCAGTTCCTGTGTGCTTTGCACTAACACATCTTAGTTCTCCAACATTCCTAGGTGGGATTTTGGGTGCATCCACTTCTGCTCTTCATTCCTTTCTTAGATACTTAGAAGGTGATATTTGGCATGTCTAGGACACAGACTGAAGTGCAGGTGCGTGTGGGACATAGCACATGAGTAGTCATGTCCAGACCAGAGGAACGCTGAGTTTTCACAAACCACTCTTGCCATGATGTAAGGAAGCTCATGACCTGAGAACCACCTGTGTTGGTCTTGTTGCTGTATGTCCCGATGAGCACAGAGCCACGTCCTGCCTTTAAGACCCACAGAGCATCCCTGTGGTGAGGCTGCAAACACCGCCAGGCACCCCTCCCCTCCCAGTGCCCACACCCTGCGGGAGCCCAGCTCCCTGGGGCTGGACGGCAGCTGTGTCCTTGGCTGAAGCTTCCAGAAGCAGTTTCAGTTACAAATCAAAGGCCTGGTCAGGCCCTTCTCTGCCTTTCGAGTTCATAAATACTGTCAATTTCCTCTCTTCATCTCAAAGGGAATTTACGATTTGCTGAGTTTGTTGCTGTAGAACAAACAATATAAATCCAGCTTTAAATTACGACTTGTTCTCAGTGCTGCTCTGGGTAAGTGAGATTGCTGTTGCCAATAACCAAGGCTCTTGGTAAATCACTGCGGGCCCTGGATTTATTGGGAAAACCTGCACCAAGCAAAATAGGCTTTAGCTATTTGAAGAGGCTAAGCACCCTTGTCAGGGAGAGGCGCTTTTAACCCTTCTCTCTGAGTGTTAGAGTTTCCACTTTCTGCCACTGGGCCATCCTCCTAGAGCACGCGGGAGCTCTGGAGCTTTGGGCTGAAGAATCTGGTGTCTCGCATTATCCCAGGACTCAGGCCTTCTCTACCTGGGGCCCTCCTGTACCCACCTGGGCTGGCCATCCTGGAAAAGGGGCTTGGGGCTGGCCTGCTTTTGTGATCTGACCACACCTTGAGTCAGGTTGCAGCTTCCAGGAAGATGCCTAGAGTTGTCCTTTCCTCCTGGGACAGGGTCTCCTTGGAAATGGCTGACGATGCCCCCTCTGGCCCATCAGCCAGAGGATCTGATGTGGGGAGAATGGAGGCAGGCATGAGGGGTCTCTAATCCTTAGGTCAGTGTTAGGCTGGAATGGAATGTTGTTGGCCTCGAAGAGTTGGATGGAGCCCAGCAAACCCCTGGCAAAAAGCTCCTGTGGGGCCCAGAGGGTGAAGCCTAGGGTCTTGGCTCTGGATCATTTTGAGCAGGTGCAGCAGTGGGCTCTCGAGGCCACATGGCTGTGCTGTGAGCCATACCCATTCTGCCCAATGAGCGACCTTGGTTTTGGAAGTGGGTTTTTTTGTTTTTTTTTAAAAGATTTTCTTTATTTATTTGAGAGAGAGAGAGAGAGCATGAGTGTGTA